TTCTTGGAATTTAATACAAACCAGCATACACAGTAAGAACACATCACACTGAATGATGGTAGGTACTGTTAGTAACATGCAGTTGCAAGTATAGAAACAAACCTAGCAGTAGCACGACGGACAGTTAATGTCTTGTCTCCCATCTTTAGCCCATTAAGAGCAGCACAAGCAATATCAGTCACAGATGGATCCTATATTGGAGGCAGGTTATGACAATAAAACCAAAATGAGAAGAAAAGAACATAAAAGAAAAGGAAACCCATCATCAATCAATTGGATGCATGCTACCTGATAGACACAAAATCCATAACCCTTGGAGTTCCCTGTGTCTCTGTCTTTGACAATGTCAAATCCACGCAGGGGTCTACAACCAATAAATGCCATCCAGTTAGAGTCATAGTGGATAAATTTATACATGCTTACTGAACCATGCATCACGTTCTCTCTGAAATCTAAGATACTTTTTCATGCAAATATTTCACAATAATATAATGATGGATAAGTATTAATCATGAAAAAACAATATTATCACCATCCACAATTTAAATACACAATCCATCATCACTGTGCACAGGGGAGTGCAATAAACGGCATCGTATTTTCTGCACAGAGAATTATGCAATATTTTGCTATATAAACTAAATAAAAGGCTTCCTGAATTTTGACAAGCAGGATACATGGTGGAAGTGCAATCTCTCAAACGAGTCAGGAACTGGAATATAAATTTATTGAAAAATTTTCTGTGAAAACTCATACCCAAAAGATTCAAGTAGCTCCCTTATTTGTCCATCTGTGAAGTAATATGGCAAACCACCTACAAAAATGCGTTCAGGTCCCTCAGCTCCACCAAGAGCACTGTCACAAGAAACATTGAGAGAAACATAAATAATATTCTTCTGTAATCACATGAACTATACATAAGAAACATGAATAAGCTATGTGCAATGTGTCCCTATTAAAGAATGAAATTCTGAGCAAAACAGTAAATATCATAAATGCTGGCTCAAGAGACTGCTCACTTACCCTGGTGTGAGACCAACAGCAGCTAGGTTTAGATAAGGACTTGGTTGGCTAGGTCCAAGTGTTGCCGCCAATGAAGGATTGTAGTCAGTGGGTCTTCTAACTCTCACTGAAACCCCCTGTCAAAATATCAGAAACAAACCATAAATTCTAGAGTCATAGGTTAACACGCCAACAAGGATTAACACTTGGATTTGAACAGCACAACTAGCTTAGCAACTTCATGTTAGAAAACAGTTCTAACTAGTATATCTTGAGTTATGATATGATTGATCACAAAGAGCAAGAGGAATGCCAGACCATTTATTATGATGTTTCCACCAAAGATAATGACTACAAGTGAAATAAGCCAAATACATGAAGAAAAAAGGTAGGAAACTTATGATGCTTCTCAGCTATCAAACGAGTGAAATTGCCAAACAGATGTGCAATGAATTAGCCAGTGACTCCGCATAATCTATGTAAATTAAAAACTTTTAATCCAAACAGAAACTCGTAAGCATTTAAAAGAAGAAATGATTTGAGATGTATGTTTACTCTTTTCATGCCAAAAACAACACAAAGTGTCTAGAGGCAGCCCGTCAAAAAGTTACTTACCTCAAATATGATCCCATCCAAGGCCATTGCATTACTCGCTTCCTCCACTGATCTCATCTCCACAAAAGCAAACTTCTTTTCATGATTTATGTATACATTAACAACAGCATCACCTGAGAGAACAGATAATCAAGTTTAAACATTTATTTGCTATAGAACTATTTTGAGGTGCGAGGAAACATGCAGAATGCGCAAAAGGCTGCAAAGAAACTGTAGCACAATCCAGCTTTACAGTGGACAAACTTTTGTTAAAGTTTAAGACTAATATCAGCAGCAACTCTACGACAGCAAAGGAATAAAATAATTGGTTAAAACTATGTAGGGTATCACACATCTTGTTTGTGACATAGGATATGAAAATCTCCTGCCATGACGGAATAAAGAGCTCGTCAGGATTACACTGCAAGGTAGCTTCGTCCATTAAATAATAGTAAATACAGCAATGGTTTCTGGTTTTCTGATGGAAGTTTGTAATCATTGTCATGTATTGCCTGTCTACATGTCCTGTTCACTTAGGTTTTTGGATCGGCATATGCTTTAAAGTCGAATGTAGTTCTCTATAACAGTCTATCATCATTCCCTTTATCTATCGCACTTAGTCTAGCAGAAGTTAAAGGGCTCGATCATTGGTGACACAATCTTTTACTACATTATCTTATAGCAAAAAAATGTAGAAACAGCTTCTGGAATGCCACTGACCTAGGATTAATAGTGAGGCTCTCTCCCTCATACAGTCACAATTATAACAATTTCGAGAGTTCATGACCAGTCAAGAAGTCAAAGGATTTCAAACAAATAATCTTCGACACTATTCCCAGAAAAAAAGGAAAAAGAAGTCCTACAAGGCTACAACTGAGGTAAGGAAGTATCACCCAGCTAACTGGTTGGCTTCTAATCAATGATGCAAATATAGACAAAGACTACAGTGTAACCCCTGCACTTATTTTGCCAATACACTCATTCTAGCAATAAACTCAAGCAATTAAGTGATTTATTAACTGGCAGACTATGACAAACCATATTTACACCTTAAATACCAGCCAACTATTATTTTCATATACCACCTCTTCTGTCTATTATAGAAAGTGATAGAAACCGCCTTAAAATTGCATGAGCTCAATCTCTTCATCAAAAGACACAAACACAATGCAAGCTATGGGGTGCATACCCAGATGCATCCAATATGGCATAGTTATATTTACAACTAGAGCAAGCATGTTAAGATTCTGATACTGTGGGGGAATACAAGAATGCATAAAAAATAGATGAAGAAATATTTCAACAATTTATACACACCTTGGCCAGCTGAATTTCCCCCTATACTGGACATAATTTGGCTAAAAAATGTAGCAATTGTCTGTTCAATAACCCAGAACAAAATAAAATTGATATTAGAAAACTGACAGATGAAGTAAACATCAGAATAAGACCCCAAAGACTTAAACAGCTAAATTTGATAAAAACAGTCATGATCATGGGAAGAAAGCATGCTCTAAAATTAGGAACTGTAAATCCTGCATGAGTGTTAGGTCAAAGTAAAAATATTTAAAAAGTGGACCTCATAACACATCATAGCAACTATAAAAATGATAGTTCACAAACATATGAAAACATTATTTGCAACTTCGGAAGAGTAGCTATTCTTGCTGGTTGCATCTAACAGCTGCTTTAGGATTATTATATCAAGCCAATTTGTGATTTAATAAACACATAAAGCATCTGACTTATTAAAAGATGAATATTATACTAAGTAAATTTTCAATGTTACAGTAAAAAAAAATAAACAGTGCATAGAACATAAGGCTAAACTACCAATTTGACATTTAAAAAAGACCCGTTTTACCACATTGGTATTTAAAATATCTCCGACGACGTTTTGGTATTTAAAGTGGGTTTAAGTTGGCATATGGGTCCAAAATGTGGCCGGAGTTAAATCTTTTGGTGAAACCCCTCACGTGACCATCACGTGTCCCTTAATGACTGTTATAAAATGCTAATATGGTAAGGATTAGTGACGTGGATTTCATTAACTGATTTTTGGAGGGAATAAAAAGCGGGGATGAAACAAAGAACTAGCGCACAACAAATTTGGGGAAAATTCAGGTTGGGGTTTCTTTGGCTGAGATGAGATAGGCAAAACTGATTCTGGAGATCTCAAGGATATCCTCTTCAAGCTCAAGCGCGCAGTCAAGGAGGAGCGTCGATGGCGAGAATAATGGAATGGCTGCAGGATTCAACAAGTCGCACTTCATTCAAAAATGAAATGAAGAAGCAAAAATTGAGGGGGTAAAGAAGTGTAAGTGTGGGTTCGATTGCATCTATCTAGCCTCTTTCACTTCAGAAAATCCAAGCAGAAGGTTCGACAGATGCCAAAAGGTGAGTTTGAGTTCAATTTGATTTTTATTTGGGTAATTTTTTTATTTTCTAAAATTTTGTTTCAACTAAATGTTCAGAATATTGGTTGTGGATTGTGGGAGTGGTATGACCCACCAATGTGCAAAGTTGCTGCTAATTTAGTGTCTCTTCCAAGAGATGAAATTATGAAGTTGAATTGCCATATGAATAAACTTGATGAATTGTCTAAAAACAGGAGCAATACTCTACATTCGTACGTTCGTCAAAATCCTCAGTTAATGTAAGAGATCAATAGATGTGAAGAGGAGAACAACATATTTAAGAAGGTGATTAGGTACCAAAATGAAACTGTAGCTAGTTTGGAAGAGATTAGCAGATTAAGAGATGCTTTTATTTTACAGAAAAGTTCTCTTAAATTGTACAAGTGTGCTACTTTGATGTTAGTTATGTTGTTCTTGTTGTATTTGAGTGGTTAATATAATAGTGTTTAATGTAATGTTTAATGTAGCGGTGTTATATTTATGCTGTTCTCATTAAATGAAATGCTTATTGAACAAAAGAATGCTTATTGAGTAAACGAAGTTGATGTGCTTATTGACAATATTATATGCAAATTTAGCAGCATTTTGTCTATAATTTTGTTGCAAAAATACTCTGTCACACAAACCTGCACAAACGTGATCCATATAAACCATCCATAACAAACAAGTATATATAACAAAAAACATCCAGAATTTGTCCAAACATAGTACAAAGTATATATAATAAAAAACAAGCCAAAAACAATGGCATTAACATTGCCATTTTAAAATACATGTCTCATTATAGAAATTACAAGATTTAACTCCCCTCCCACTTAGTGTATTCCTCATTATTGTTGAGTAGAAGGTTGTGATTGTTGATTTTGGTCTACAATTTCAGATGCACTTTGACTTTCATTCATCACAATATATAATTGACTAGCAGTTGGATCCATGAAAACCATCTCACCATGTTCTCCTTGCTAAACACCAAAGCCTTAAGGTACTCTTTATTGTCTTTGCTAAACACCAAAGCCTTAAGGTACTCTTTATTGTCTGCTCCTCCCACTTCCACCACCTCTACTTCTTCCTTGTCCTCTTCCTCTAATAGCATCTGTTGTCTGAGATTGAGCTTCATCTTTGCAAACTAAAAATAAAGTTAACTTAAGCATATATCTTACAACAGACTAATAACTGTGTTTCAACTTTACATTGTTGTGCATTTTCACCCATTATAGACATGTTTCTGATAAACAACTGGGTTTTAGGAATTGGATTAGTTGTCAAATTATCTGTTGATAAACCAACTCTAGTTTTGCTTCCTCTTGACCTTCCTCTTTTTCTTTGTTGACTTGAATCAGTAGTGGGATTGGTCTGAGCTTGTGCATCATGTTCATGTTGGATTGAAGGTATTTGATTTCTTAGTGGTGCAAGTGGACAATGTCTGATTGAATGCTCACTGGAATGGCAATGACTACATCTTTGTGGGATTCCTTGCCTTGATGCTTTAGAAGTGCTGCGTAAACCTTCAGATGGGGTCTCTCATTCTAGCTGTTTTTGGTCTTCTTATCTTCCTTTTAGCAATATTTGGAGACGGTATCATACCTTCCGCTTCCTTGTCCTAGTATTTGTAGCCTTCCATTGAGCCCAACAAATGTTTATAAATAAGTAGCATTCACTCTTATATCAATATGATACATATTCCTCTGGTTTACTCCTCAGGAATAAAATTGCACTTACAACATGTGTGCAAGGAATTCCTGTCAACTCCTATACCCTACAAGAACATGTCCTCTTGCCTATGTCAAGTTTATGGCTTACATGTTTATGGATCACTTCAAAACCATCCTCATTTGTTGAGCCATTCAAACGTACTTCACAATTAATATGTTCATTATAAGTCTCTTCCAATTTTTTATGCACTCTAGGGGCTATTCCACCAACAAATTTATATAATAGCATCTTTTTTTTTGCAGCCTCTCCATCAAAGATAGCCTAATATCCTCTAACATAGATATTATAGGCTTAAATCTTGCAAGTAAAATAAAAGAGTTGAAAGTTTCAGACATATTGTTATCCAGGGAGTCACATAGGCTATGGGTCTTAAAATGAGACTTGCAAATTGTACGAGGGTCCCTATCCAATGAAATCATCATATGTCTTCTCTGAAAGAGCCCTCAGTTTGGATGCTTCATATGCAAATTCTCCCATTGTCGCTGCTTTTGTACATTTCAAAAATTGCCATTGCAAAACCAATGTGAGCCTTTCTCCAGTTAGAATATATGTGCCTTGCACATTGTTTATGCTCTATTTCTAGCCATATTTCATGAATGGCAGGTACAAGGCCCTATCAAGTAAGAACATATATAAACTGTCAATATCTTGATAAATCTAGCAATAATTTTAAGATAAAATCTAAATTATATCATACATTTTGTTGATCTGACATCACAGTCCATCCTTGACCATCCCTCATTTCGAAATATGCATTCAAACAACTAAGAAACTATTGCCAAGAGTTCTTATTTTCTCCCTCAACTATAGCCTATGCAATTGGAAACATGTGGTTGTTTTCATCTCTCCCAACAACACTTAGTAACTTTCCTCCACATGAATGCTTAAGAAAACATCCATCTAAGCAAAAAACCTCCTATAACCATGTAAGGAACCCAATCTCATTGCTTTAAAACATATATAAATTCTCATGAATACAACTGTTCCGGTTCTGAATCATGGACCTTTAGAACAGCTCTAGTGCCTTCATTTGTTTTGCAGAACTTTCTTATGTAGGGCTTGAGCAATCCATACTGCCTTTGCATTAAGCTATGCATAGCATTGAGTGCCTTGTCATTAGCCCTTGCATATTTCCCTTCATTTACATTTACACCAAAATTTATTCTCATATCAACAACGATCTCCCTTGGCTTCATGTTAGGATTCTTTAATAGTTGGTCTAGGTAAGTTTGAGCAATCCAATTCTCAGTTATTAGTCTATTCTTGAATGTCCTATTGCATATGTGTAGGGGATATATGCTTGATTTGGCATGCCATCCTATCTATGAGATCTGCTTCAGCAGTCAACTCCCAATTGCACAAATAGCATCAATATGAATCCTCTTTTTTATTTTTCATATAGACCAAACATAGCGTTTTTGCATAGAATACATGAGTATAGCTTCTTTCAATACCTTTCTTGAAGTGAATCTCAATCCAGATTCTAGCTCCACCTTTTTCATGTCTACATCCTCATTGAATAACTTGTACTTTATTGGCTCCTTTATTTTTTTCTTCCTTCTAAGGAAAACTACTGCTTCATCTTCACTTGGTTCCAAAGCATCATCATCAGCACTATCTCTCAGATCTGATTCATATCCTCCTCTATAAGATGTTCAGTATTTAGGCTATTTTGCATTGCTTGGTATTGCTCTTTTTGCTCTAGGACCACCTACAATCAAACCCTCAATATCATCATCATATTGCATTTGATTTGGTTCTGTTGGTTGTTCTGTAATTGCTTTCGTTAGCTGTTCTGGAATTATTTCTGTTGATTGTTCTGCATTTGATCTGTTGCTCTTTCTTGATTTGCTTCTGTTTCTTCATTTGCTTTATAATGTTGTTCCAATTTTGGTGCATTTGGCTGATCTGCATTTCGTTCACTAGGCTGCTCTGCATTTCCTTAAGGATGTTGTGCATGTGCATGATGTTGTGCATGTTCTTAACTTGGCTCATTTGCTTGTCTTGGATCTATTCCACTTAGCTGATCCTTTTTAATCCTTGCACCAGAATTGAAAGCTACGTTACCCTTCTGCGATGCTAACAGGGTAATATTTCTTTCTCTCATCTCATGAAGCTTTTCATGATCACTATGCAATGTCTTTTCTATTTCACTATCAATTAAGACACTATCACTTTCATATCCCTTTGGGAAGCTAATATATTAGCTTTAAGTTTAGAATGACCTTCATCAGTCATCACCTTTTTCCCCCTTCTACTTCTAGAGTTTTCAACCAACTCATCATCATCTACCACTTCAGTTGAGTCAATTTTGTATGTTTCATCCTCTACTGAGTCATCATCATTAGTAGAGGATGCATTTTGATCAAGATTAGTTTGAGTGACAATATTTCTCCCCTTTTTACCTCTTGATAATACTTTCTTCCTTTTATGTTTTCTTTCTCATAGGGGTTGTCCTCTTTCTCTTAGGGGTTTATCTTCTTTTTCTTTCTCCCTCTGAAGCCACTAGATTTTTTAGGAGTGCACTCATTACTCATTAGGGTCAGGAACTTCTTGCTGATTAGCTTGCATTGGAGGATCTTCAACTAGAGGAATATCCACTTCAATAGCTTAATCAACAAAAATGATCTGCAAAAACTTCAATTACTCTCTCCTTACTTGCATATGCCTTAAATTTTGCTAAGTCTGTATCTAAGAGAAGAGACGTGATGGCTCCAACACCACCACCAAGTATTCCATACCACAAAGTGAAAGCATCACTATACTCATACTCTCGAATTTTTTCTCTCAACAAGTTTATTGACAGAATGTCTTCCGTAATGAATTGCACGTTAAATGAGCCACTAATGTGCTCTTCTGACATTAGAAACTCAAAAGAACCACCATGTCTAAATTTAACCATAATATTCTCACTCATCTGCATGATGAACAAAAACATAAATGAATTACAACCACAATCACATTCTGCTTCAAATCTTACAAAACCCCTAATTTTTTGAAAAATCCACTTCGATGTCATTCACATAAACATCTCTTTTCGATGATGATGATCTCGCACTTGCTGGTTCTAAGACACCGCTTTCATTATCCCACCATAAAATCTTCAGCGAGACCACTAGCAACTGCAAGTTTGGCCACAATCTCCCTAACCACCGCTCTGCTCGGTCGATCTTTTGAAATGCATGAGGATGGGGCGATCTGTCAAATTTAGGGCTTTTGATCTCCAAAAATCGGTTATTTAGGTCACGTGAGCGATACATGATCAGTTAATTAAATCCACATCACTAATCTTTGCCACATCAGTATTTTATAACGGTCATTAAGGGCCACGTGATGATCACATGAGGAGTTCCGTCGGAAAATTTAACTCCGGCCAAAATTTGGACCCATGTGCCAGCTTAAACCTACTTTAAATACCAAAACATCATCAAAGATATTTTAAATACCAATGTGGTAAAATGGATCTTTTTTAAATGTCAATTTGGTAGTTTAGCCTAGAACATAACTAACAAATAACCAACGCCTACCATTATCCACTCGTACATAAAGAAGATAAGAGTTGCAACAATCTATGAAATAGTAATATGTACAACAAATAGTAAATAAAATCATAGTGCTCATAAGTAAACAAGAATCAGTTGTCGTTTATCATGATATTACAATCATACATATCAAATATAATACAGCAAAGCTATCTTTAGAACAACAAAAGAAATGAAGGAGTTCACAGAGGCATTAACAGAGCAAAAAAAGATATAGATTACAGATCTCCAATTATTCATCATGATATAAAAACCTAAACAAGCACCATTAAGGCTGGTAGGACCTAACTTAGATAATGGTGACTAGGATTATGACTGGAAATAAGATTATGGCGGGGTTGCTACCGATGCTACTGGAAAAAGAAAGAATTGGAAGTCCAAAGGAGAAAGAAACGAAAGTCCAAGGGGTTGACAGATACAATGAGTAGAAACCACCAAAAAGATCCGGCTTCCTGGTTAGCTGGAGGCGGCGAGTGAATTGGACAGTAAGAGGGAAGAATCCAGTTGCATTATGGGAAGATCTCAAGCAACTACAAGGAAGATGGTATACAAGCAACCAAGTGTTTTTACTTTTTTGTTCATGCTTTTCAAAAGGTTGAAGATCTAGATTTTGGAATCCAGCTTCACCGATCTAACAGGTGTGTCGGGTAAAACTAAAGGTCATTGTTGATTGTTATGACTACCACATGATGAACATCAAAGTGCAAACCTCCCAAATCCTACTCATGCAGTTCTGAGAAACTTAAATGCTGTAAAGAAGATGATAGACCAACTAAAACAAGATCCCGTCGACAAAGAGGATCACTTAAGTCATTGTTCAAACTTTCCACCTGAGAAGCATCAAAGTCGAAACCTCCCAATCTTAGTCATGAAGTTCTGAGATCACCTTAAACCTTGAATCCTCTAAAGAAGATGTAACTAAAATAAAATCCCACTGACAACGAGGATTATTATTTATTAATGCTCAAAAGTGAAACCCATATAATACCCAAGAAAGCACAATGAGATCAGCATAAAACACAGCAAAATAACTCAACAGAACTCATAAAGTAGAAAAAAACATTGTATAGAAAAAGACTATAATGTTTAACTTTCATTAACCTGGTTACATATCACAATTAAAACATCCTTTAAATTACGAATAATAAATTTATAAGAACATTAAAAGATAACCTCGTTTATCAAATAAATGATAAAGAAATGTTCTTTCATAGGAAAAGGAAGCAAATATAAAGCAAAGAGAGCAGAGAGAGAAAGCAGAACAGAAGGCCAAAAAAATCACTGCATGAGAAAGAGCATCAACAAGGCATTACCAATACTAGAAGAAAAAATCCTCAGACATCTATGTGTGGAAGAAAGTTAAAATCATGTGGCTTGTCGAAAATCATCAAAAGGACATCAATAGCGTCACTATCGGCTCCTGATATATGACAAGTCATATTCTAACTGAATACCTGATGTTTTCATCATGCAAATTGTTGTCTGATATAAAGAGACATGACAGGACTAACTATAGCTAGAATGACAAAGTTACATCACCTGTTCATTTGCCATGGGAGGAAGGCCACCAACATATACCCGTCGCGCATGTCTTGTTGCCTGTAGACATTTTACTGTGTATTTTATGTATGGAATGAATAAAGAACAGAAGCAAAATACATATACACCAAAACTACCTGCTGAGTCATTGATTGTGCTGGCATCATTGGAAAGGATCCAAACTATGGGGAGGGAAGTTGCATTAGTTTATACCGTACATTAACAAGAGGGAAGTCATAGATGAAACAAAAGTCACCAGTGTAGACATTACTCTAGACTACCTGTTGGGCAGCAAGAGGAACCATGGGAGTAAACAGACCAGTCATTGGTTGAGGAACATTAGGCAGCTCACCTGAATTAGTAATGGACGAGTAAAATTGGAACCAAGGAACATTCAAAAGTTCTCGCTACAAAACAATCATCCAAACTAGTGAAGTCCACATTATTGGGGAGATTGTCCATTTGAATGATAACAATTTTCATAAATGACATCAAATGGAAGTATGAAACAAATCCAACTACAGGCACCAAAGAAAATCTGTAGGTCTACCGAAAGGCAATGCTTTCCCGCTGATCACGAACAAGATCCAGCAAATCAGTGCAGTTCCTTGTTATCTACAGGCCACTGGGTAGCACTGTAGGACATGTAGCCCAAGATTGTCTTCTTTACCCAAGCGAAAACACAATCACAAACAAACAAACACACACACACAACAGCCGACAACATAAGATTCCTTAGTTTCTGCATGAAGCTACTAAGTAAATATAATTTTGATAGAAACAGAACATAAAAAAGGATCTATAGCTACTAATAGAGCAAAAGTGGATGTGGAAACTACTAGATGATATAACCGCATCGCACTTGTAGCTCAACAAAATAAAGGAACTGCAAAGAATATATCCTGACCTGCAACAGCAGCACTAGGCAGCACAGTGGCACCAGGAGGAGCCATGTCAAACCCACTTGTCCTTTTGCTATAAAAGAAAAAAGGGAAAGTATAAATTAAGAATATCTCCGATAAAACTCATCAACTCATGATGCCAAGATTTTAACAGGGAGAATATCAAACAGGTCTTCAACTCTATCAGTAAATTGTTACTCTACATAAGTTTGCAGTAGTAAATATGCAGCATCATGATAAATCACAGAATCAGCTAATGAGATTCTATTGATTTTTATAGTAATACTTTTCATTATTAAAGAAAGCATTAATTGAAATTTCAAATCGGCGTATAAAATATCAGCCAATATGTCAATATATCGGGTTTTGCAGAGCCCGCAACAATATTTGCAGATTTATAGTGTTTTTTGATATATTGGCTGATATCCGATATATCCCGAATCCGCAATATTGGCTAATATTGGATTTTTTAAAGGTTTTTTTGGGTTTGGCTTTGGTTTGGGGTTCCTGACCCGACCCGAATACCAAATAAAACTCTCCATTTGCTTCAGCAATCACAGATTCACAATCAAACTCAAAAACATCCTAACCCTTATTTCGGCGCTCACCTCTCTCTTCCTCTCCGCAAGTAAGCTCCACCTCTCTTTCCACCCTCTCTCTCCCCCCTCTATCCCTCTCCCCCTTTCACTTTATGCCCTCTCTCCCCATGCTCTCTCTCTCTCCCCCTCCCCCTCTCTCTCTCTTCCTCACTCTCTCTGCCCTCTCAGTCTCTCTCCTCCTCTCTTTTCGAGTAGTCTCCCTCAGCTCTCTTTTTATCTTCTCTTCCTCCACCCCTTTCTCTATCTCTCTCTACCCCTCTGATCTCTCTCTACGTCTTTTTTAATGTTATGCACTTAGAACGTTTTATGATGCAATCCAAAAGAAAGTTTCGACAATATGTTAGTCATCCTAAAGATATATTATGATGCAATTTCTTTCGTTTACTAAATATGTTTAGATTACATATAAAATGGTATATTATGCATGAACATCATCCAATATGTCACCTTAATATTTACTAAATATCCTGATATATCCCCGATTTCTGCAATCTGATATGGATTTTGGTCGTTCGATACGTGATATCCAATATTTAAAATAATGCTTCAAAACCATTTTCTTTTGCAGTTTTTTATGGTTCATTGGTATCCAGTTCGTAGCCATAATTTGGATTCAAATTTGCTTCGGAAAGTATGAATATTAGTTCAAAATCTAAAGCAACATCTAAATTGGAACCAGCATATTGCAAGAGAGGGTAAAAAACTTAAAAACTAGTCATATAACCCTACTCTCTACTTCTATACATCGAAACAAAAAAATATGATGCGCTCTAAATTGAATAGAAAAGACAAATGCTAAGTACAATTTTATCTATGTAGTGCCAACTACAAGTTTTAACTATTCACCATGTTGAGCTTGTGGTACAAAATTATCTACTTGCCTAGATAATGTTGATGATGTAGTCTTTTAGAAACTATTACAGATCAGAGAAAACTCAAGAGATAAATAGAGAGATTACATCATAGAATTGCTGAAATTCCATGAGCTTGAGATGGAGAGGTAGAAACCTTAAAAGTACTGCTCTATATCGCCAAATTTCTCATGAAAATTAGCATGAGAAAATTTGCAATAAGTTAAAAAAATGAAAAACCAAACAACTACCTTTTCGCAGGTGAATGTGAACGTGATCGAGATCTATTTCTAGATCTTTCTTTCGAGAGAAAACTATGCCCATGTCTTCTATCTCTATTATGATCATTGTCCTGGTACCTGAAGAAGATGAGCAGAACTCTATAAAGATACAAAAAGATACAAAAGCATGAGAATTACATTAATTTAACATTTCATAGATTTAGTTGTATAGGAAATGGTCTCTTATGAATTTCAGACTCTGCAGCATATAAGTAGAGTGATTCGCTAGCCACAGTAAAGGGAAGGAACTGTCAGTTAATGAGAAACAAAAACATCAGGATTAAAGTAACCATTGGCCACTACTGTTCACTAGTAGGAACTTCAAAGTAACCTCCCAACTTGTTAAAGAGAAGGTTTTACTAAAAAAAGGAAATGACAATATTTCTTTAGGTATATAAATCCAAATATCTTGTAATATAGGTCATGAAGCAAACTCACATAGAAAATGAGTTGCTGGCCGAAGAATTTAAATTGTTATGATAATAAAGAACAATTTAATGAGAAATTAGATGCAGGAGAAACAACGTGTGCCCATTTATTACTATAGCCAACATTACCGCCCATTATTTCGACTGTGATGATGGTCATTGTCTTCATATCTGTCTCTTCCTCTGTCATCCTTTCTATCTTTGTGGTTCTCTCGATGATGGCGTTCACGATCTCTTCCCCTGTCTCTTTTGCTCTCCCTCATCCTAGACATGTCTTGCTCAAACCCTCGGGAACTATGCTGAAAACGTTTCAACAAGAAAATGAACTAATTAAGCTAAATAATCTAATAACTGCAACGCAACATCAAATTAATAATTTTACCAGAGAGCTTACATATAGAATTCTCAAATAGCACATAAGCCTGTCTTTTTTGTTGCTTTGTAATTCCTGAGCAGGATATTGAGCATAGATTATTTCTTGCTTATATCTGAGTTAAAGGATATGACTTTGTGTAATTTTCAATGAATACATTCTAGAAAATTATAAACTCATATCCTTTAAGTCTATGTACAAGCAACAGATAATCTAGAAACCTAATACTAGTTCATTATATAGCACGTAGCACACTCCAAAAGTTTGGGGGTAAAGGCTGAGTCATTGTGCCTACTAATATTCATTATTTAGTACATGCCCAGAGTGATATGAGTTATTCAAGAAACTGTACAGAAAAATTAGTATAATAAAGAAATAAAATAGTGAAGAAACATAAGACAATTTTTTTTCCTAGGATCTAATATTCAAGCTAATGTTAAATTGATAATGATCGGCAGTAAGAGTATAAGCCACCACCATTTGTAAGTAGTATGAATAAATTAAGAAGTGATTCCTACCTGTAGGAATTGAATGCCATTATTGATGATCTGCCGGCAAAAAAGAGAATCCTCACAAAAAAATTGTTTTGGTATTTACTCTATAAGTTGCCTTAAGAATGATCTTGTTCCAGTATTGTGCATTGACGTTTAAAACGCAATTTTGTGCAAGCATTAAAAACTGCATATGTTAAGGTGAAGAGAACCAAGAAATGTACCACCAAGTAACAAGGGCAACATATCTGAGCATCTGCATGCACTTAACACCTATTGTTGTTGGATATAAATAAAATAGTTTTGATAAATGCATAGGAAAATTCTGAAGGCACTATGTCGAAGTTTAATAAACGTGAAGCATTAAACCAAACATAAAATGTCTGATTCCTCCTGCACTAGATGAATAGATACAAGTACAACTGTTATTTTGGCTAACGTTAGCTTTTTATGTTGCAAAAACATTTGGAACTTTGTTCTAAGCAAAAATGAATATTAATACCTTAATTTATGTCCTCCACAAGAAGAAATAAGAGCTAAGCTAACTAGTGCTCTTACCATCAAAATTACTTGGAACCATAAAAGCTACTTTGTTCCAATAATTTGTAATTTTATTCAATTAAATATATACGTACAGAAAACCTAAAATAAGACCAAGCTCAGATGAAATAATGGGGACTATCCTCATCAAAATCGCACCTTTTACGTCAATTCAATTGATTTAACCTCAAAAAACGTCTAATTTTGCTTTAATTTTATAGAAACCATAAATTCCTCGAAAGAATTAGGGCACATTGGATTAAGGAAGAGGATCACACCTTGCGACTTGAGGACCGATCTTCGTAGCGATCCTCGTACCCCGACATCGCTCGTAGGGATTGCTCGCAAAACCCTAACCCTAGAAATTCGAAGGTCTCGATTGCGATCTCGTGACCTCGGTTTCGTGCTGAGATTGGAGTTTTTGGGTGTAACGAGGGAACAAAGAAGAACTAGGTATTGATCGGATCGAAGAGTTCACTCAAGGATTCGGGTGTGGATCGGGTCGGTTCTATGAGATCCATTTGTGTATCCATTTAATTTTTGCAGGTGCATGCTGGAAAGAAGTATTATTTACAAATTTCTAACGGTTTCGGATTTTCATGTAAAATCTATAATGAAAATGGATTTATGTACTCCAATGAATAAGCCTATGCAGATCTCTATAGCCTATAAGATTGAGGGAGTACATCGGCAAGCACCGAGACTCAAAAGTGTACTTGGATTTGATCCCAAAGAAGGAAAATTAAATGACTATATAATAAATTATAGGGAAAAATGCTTCCAGCCCCCAAAACTAATGAAAACAAGCTTCCCCCTCCCAAGACTTTTTCAACGCTCTCAAAACCCCCAAATTCGTAACAAATATGCACTGAGCCCCCAAAACACAAAGACCAAGAGTATTAAAATTTGAAGACCATAATACCCTTTCTCTCTCTTTTTCTTTCTTTATCTGTGATGATTTGAAAGGGTTCCTCCGTCCCTTTCCCCGATGGCGGCCGTCATCATGTCCCTCAGCAGGGTCCCCACCTCCGCGATGAGATTGCCCCCTCTGCCGTCAACCTCGCCGTCACGAGCATCGCCCCGCGCACCGGTATCCTCCCAGGATCCACATCAGCCTCCCCAACCTGGGCCCCACCATAGTAAAGCTGGAGAGAACGAAGCATAGTTAGGGTTTTTGATGAGGAGGTCGAGGGTCATGTTGAGCTCCACGCGGATGGCCGGGAACGTGACACGTGGAGAGACGCCGGTGACGGCGAGGATGAGCAGGAGGAGGTGATGAGCAAGAGGAGGATGACGAAGTTTACGGCGGCGGTCGTGGTGCATGTGCGTCGGATTTTCAAAACCTGGATTTTGTTTTAGGGATACTATTCCTTCATTTCAGCGTAACCTGGATTGGGTGATACTATTCTTTCATTTCAGCGTCAGTCTCTCGGGATCCCTTCTAATTCTGAGTCTAATTCTGGTGAGGATTCTGCTGATGGATCAGGCTCTTCTGATTCTGGAGGTGATGGTGATGATGATGGTGGTGATGGTGCTGGTGGTGACTGACTTGAGTTTCTCTATGTGATGGTTATTTTTGTTTTTTTTTAATGTTCTCTTTTGGAGATGATTGATTTGATAACTCTGTTTTATTTGAGTGTAATAACTCTATGATACTTTGTGGAACAAACTATGTATGGTTTTGTGTGATTTTTTATCTTGTGGACAAATCCATGGTTAGTGCAAAACTATATTGCTTCTAATGCTTATGTGATATTTTGTGGCCTATTGTGTTTAATTTATTTCTTTTATAAATCAATGCATTGTTGAAACAACATTCATAATTTGATGTGCGGTAAATATTTGTTGCCTGTCATGAGTTCTTTGCACTGTTTAGGTTTTGTATATTTATGCAAATCTATGATGCTAAAATGATGTTTTGTTTATCATGTTATGATCAATGCATGGTTAAGACTATAATCATGTTTTTGTTTATAGAATTTGAATTACTTGTATTATTTATGCATATGTTTGATGAAAAGTTGTTGGTTTAGCTCCTGTATGTATGTTCAATAAATGTCACTTAGTCTATTTGACAGGGGGAGCCTTTGACATACAATTCTTTATTTTTTATCTATGCTTATAAGCAGGGGGAGTATTGCTCCTATCTTTCATTTTTCCCTTTTTGATGTTGTCAAAGGGGGAGAAAATACCACATATAGCTTACAAATTGATTCTTTTATATATATATGGTCTTGTTATGATTTACTCTTGTTCTTGGCTTATATGTGGATTATCAGTATATATTTCATATTCATGTATAAATTGTTTGCCATCATCAAAAAGGGGGAGATTGTTGACCCTATAGTTTTGATGATGATTTGACAAACAATTTATTACTAATAAGTTTTCTAGTGTTTTGTGTTTATGTTCTTTTTTCAGGTATTTCAACACGCGTTAATCAAGCGTTAAAGATTCAAGTTCATTTGCGTGGATTTACCTAGGTATATGTTAGTTTACTTACATATATAGTATGATTATATCTAAGCTCAATATATACACTTAACACGATTTTTGACGTTTTCTATCATATAGATGATTTTTCATTAAACGTTGTTAAAATACTTTATCTCATGTTTACAGCTCCTTCATACTTCACTATATACATATATTATATGCACAATATATATATGAATATTTACAAGTCCTATATCAAAGTTCACTTTCATAAAAATTACAGGTTTTCTAAGCATTCTTCAAAAACAGGTAGTTTTCACAAACGAAAATTAATTTTCCAGAAATTCTTTTTCAAACATGTTCATTTCATCATTTAGAAACTTTCCCCAAAGTTTCACTATTTTTGGATGTGATTTGATATTTTTAACGAATTTTCAAAACTGCCCAAAACCTGTCAATTTGTGTATATCAGATTTCGGTCGACCGGTACGGTCGACCGACAATTGTTCTTTTTCTTAGCATAGTTCCAGAGAGCCTTTCGGTCGACCGCACCGGTCGACCGAGAGAATTTCCGGTCGACCGAAAATTCCGTCGGTCGACCGCCAGCTCTAAACCCTGTTTTTTGAGTTGTTTGTGCTTTCCGGTCGACCGGACCGGTCGACCAACAAGTGGTCAAAATGAGCCTAACGGCTAGTTTTTCAAATGGACTTTTTGGTCTTTTACTTATTTCTAGCTGTTGTATTGGGGTGCTATATATACTCCATTGCTGCTCTTCTTCTCTAACATCCAAAAAATCCAAGTTTGTTGTTTAACAAGTTATTAATCGCGTTTAAGAGCTGTTTAAGAGTTGTTTCATCAATCTGTTTTCAAGAGAAGTTTTTCTACAACAAGAAGAGGCTTTCAAACCCTATTGGAATCATCATTTCTTCAACTCTTCTTGTTCATTGAGAAGTTTTCTAAACTCTTTCCTATATAGCTTATTATTTCACTTTCATTTGATTAAGCTATATTCATTGAGTTATATTTATTGAGTTTCATTCACTATTATCACACACACACTTATTGAGCTTGATTTTCTCATATTATATATTGTGGGTTGTAGTGTGGGATTCAGTGAGTGTGAGCTTTATTGTGTTCTCACTTGTTAATTGAGAACAAATCATTGTATTGAACCTTTATTTGTGAGATTCACTTGTAACACACTTGTACACCGAGAGAAGTGTGAGGAGAGAGAGACGGGGTCAAATCCAATAGGAGTGGCGTCGATTGACGAACCTAGGGAGAGGTTGTAATCGAGCACTTGAGGAGGAGGACACGGGCTAGGTTCCTACACTTAGTGTGTAAAGTGTGTTTGTTGAGTGATTGTGTAGTGTGAGAGTTTTCGGTGAACTTGTAAACCGAGTGTGTAGAAGTTCCGGCTTCCAAACCGGATTGTGATAGTGGATATCTCCTCGAGGTGAGGAGGAGAGGAAGGAGGATGTGACAATGGAGGGTATTATGGTCTTCACGTATCTTAATTTCTTGGGTTTTGTGTTTTGGGGGCTCAGAGAACACAGAGTTTACTTTTGGGGGTAAAACACACGTTGAAAAAGTCTTGGGAGGGGGAAGCTTGTTTTCATTAGTTTTGGGGGCTGGAAGCATTTTTCCCTAAATTATAAGGTGCCGTTTGGTTCAAGCAAATTTTTAACATTCAGTGTCGATTACAAATTTTGAAATAAAAAAATATGTTTTTTTAGTTTTGGTAATCCATATTTGGTGTTTATTTCAATATTTTTTTGGAATATTGAAACCCGAAAATGCAAAATGCACCTAAATTTTAGAATTTATCAAATCATCTCAATTGTTGAGGATTTGGTAGATCCCATAAACAGGTATCCCCTCTCTTTTTATACCCTTCTAGTTTGTTTTCTTACGGGAGATAACTTCACCAAAGTAAATATATTTGCTTCTTCTTTTTTAGAATTTGTTATCCTATAATTTGGGTTTGAATCAAACAAGATACTACCAATTTTAGGATTTGCTTTTCTATAATAACTAGTAATAATATTAAACCAAACAAAATAGGGAAAATTGTGTACAGGCCCCAAAAGCAGAAACTTCATGTGACGAGGCCCCTTATAGTTTTCCCTATGTGGATCAGCCCCTTGATGTGTGACACTTTGTACTGCAGCCCCTTTTTATCAATTATTACATGTCAGCTAAGCTAAAATCCCTAAATTATCATTATTCTCTCTCCTCAATCTCTCAGACCCAGCACTCATATCCTCTCTCTCTCTCTCTCTCTCTCTCTCTCTCTCTCTCTCTCATCTCCTCTCTCTCTCTCCTCTCTGAAAAACTAAGAGCTTTCTCAAGCCGTCACCCTGGCCCTTGCCCTCATCGCCGTCGCCTCCTCCGCTCAGGCCCCCAAGGCTCCCCTCGAGTTCACCGCCGCCTCCCCTCCCCTCCTCCGCCCATCCTTGTCGCCGTAGATCGCCGTCGCTCCCCCGCTGTAGATCACCACCGCAGAGCTTGAGGAAAACACTCAAAAAGCTCGGGCAATTGAAGACTGTTGAGGAGTGCAGGGAGATGATCCGAAGATATGATGTTAATGGAGATGGTGTTTTATGCTTTGATAAATTTAAGAAGATGATGCTACGAGAGTAGGTTGGTTTTTGAGATTGATCTTTACCGTAAATGATGACGTTATTGTGCCTCGTTGAGATTTGGACATTACTTTTTCTTTTTTTATTTGAGATGACTTTGATCAATTGAGGGTTCATGTTGACAAATATCTACGTTTTTAATTTCTCACATGACTGTGGATTTATCCTTATGAGCTTCTGTATTTACAAATTATGACTGATTCTGTTGTGGATGTTTTTTTAGTCACCAGGCTGAGACGCACAGAGCATTAATCCATTAGCTAGAAGAAGAAAAGAAAAAAAAGGAAAAAAGAAAAAGAAAAAAGAAAGGTAAGGAGAAGTAGAGTAGAAGGGGAATGAAGAGAAACGTCGTAATTAAGAAAGAACGAAAATGTGT